CATGCGCATCGTAGAAACTTACATCCTACTTGCTACTACTCTAATCCAACTGTTCTCTCATTCATTAATCAGGCCACCACCTACCTACTACTCCCGTCCGTTCCTTCGAAATTCTCCTTTTTCCCGATTTCCAATCCTTCTCGCATCCCATCTGCCCACCTCCCTCTCTCCTTCTTTTTGACAGATCTTCGATCAGACAGAGCCCAGTTTCCCTGTGGTTCGTCATTCTCCTTCCACACCCTGTGGGTGCCGTTCTCGTGCGTGAATATGTCGCCAAAAACGATTCAAAAAATAAGAACGTCAAATTGAAGACGATTTAGAGAGCTCGAAGCTCATAGATATCCGATATGGGCGCTGTCTCAAAATGCTCAGTCACGCGTAACTTTCGGCTACTAAAAAAGAACAAGATCGATTCAAAAACAGACATGGAATATCGATATGGGCGCTGTCATTCCCGAAAGGCGAGAACCCCGTTATTCCAAATTTATGCCGACTTTTCAAAGAACCGGTCTCGTGACCTCTGCATCTGTTCCTCATATCTTGCGCTTACTAAATTTTCGTCCGACTCTGCATACCCCATTGCGATTCGCAGCATCCAAACAGCTACCCCCGAGGTCTGTAAAAACGAATAAAAAAGTTAAAAACGAGCTTTTTTCCTTTTTTTACTACGGTTCGGGACCCGATTAATCTACTCCGGCTCGGGAAACCCAATTCAGCTACAAAAATGGTTCTCCCTGTTCCCTCCCCCCTCTACTTAGACTCCTCACTTGCATATCCATCCGCCCGTCCCCATTCCTACTAATATACAGGTCTGTCGATTCTTCAACTAAAGTACACATCTACATATTACACACTCTTTCATTCCAAATACTTACGTAGTCCGGGGTACTCATTGGGGAGGTGAACCCCCCAAGGACTCCCCGACATCCTGGCAAATCGAGCGAGGGCACCGAGAGAGACCTCCAGAGGGTATCCCCGGAGGTGTTTCAATCATCAGAGCTGCAATTGCTGCCTTCATTGCATCAACAGAATTGGAAATCCAGTTCATCCGAGTCAGTGTAGCGTATATAGCTGCCTTCTTCGTGGCTCTCTTAGAAAAGGAGGAGAAATCCTGCATAGAGTGAATGCGAAGACGTCCCTCCTGGAGAAGATACTCTTGATTCCTGGTCCTTGGGTGAACCCTGATCGTCAAGGGATCTAGATCAGAAATGATTCGAGATCCCAGAAAATCGAAGGCATTGTTCCCCTCGTCCTTTCGTACCAACTTTAGATTGCCATCATAACAGTTCTGGAACTCTTCCAGAATAGTCAGTGCCCTTCTCTGTGTGCGAGGATCTGCTTTCCTGCATCCAACCCAGATAGCCACATCATCTATCAACCTGATCCCTCTGATGATTGAACCTGCTGCCATCCACCTTCCATAAACCTATACTCAGCATGCGCACATACTAAACAGGTCAGTGCAGGACTCGAACATCTACCCATAGGGATGCCGAAATCCTGAATCAATATATTACCCGCACACTGTACGTACGAATGGGTGAGTTCAAAATCACCTCTCTCCTTATATCACCAAATGATAAGGACACAAAACCCTCCTCTTTGCTATCAACCCTTATCATTGCATACATTTTCCCTCTCGTACTCACCTTCACCCCAATCATGCCCCTCCGTGCATGAAAATCATTGATCCAATCCACAACGTTCAGAACACTATCGTGTGATAACCTCGCAAACATATCCTTTACATCAAAACTCCTCACAAATGCGCAATCTCCTGCTGCGCGCAGGTCTTGTTGGATTGCAGATACCGTCACCCCCAAATCATCTGTAGATTTAAGATCAAAATGCTCCCACTTTCGAATCCCGAAAAGCATGAACTTGATAGCTCCTACTCTCGATCCGGCTACTCTAGCGGGGTCAAGAGTGCATGGTGAGATCGGTCTCCACCGGTTCAGGTCTTTGTCTTTTGGTAGGACGTAAGCCTGGCCGATTCTACCACCTGATTGCCAACGAGCTATTCTTTCCAGTGAGTCCAGGTGATAGTCGTTCTTCATCTTGGTAAGTACTAGTGCCGCCGACTCATGAATCGTACGAAAGCTGGAGTTCAGATTAAACGTATCCATGCATGCTCGGTGGTACAGTACTTCACAAATCACCAGTGTGGCTCCAGGATTCCGATCAATTGGTACCGCTACCAAACCTTCTAAAGTACTGAAACACCTTCGCACCGAGTTAGCTGACAGAGATCTTCTTTCATTGTCATTGCTTCCTCCATAACAACTTCTTAGTTCTTCTGAAGTGATCTGGATGTGCTTCCCCTTCGTCCATCCGACCACTCCCTCCCTGATATACGACTGTAGCACGTGTGGTGCGACGATATTACCATGAGTCACATTCCGGGAGTTCCACATGAATGATGGAATCCCAGAAATCTCCTCCAACCTTACCTTTACGTGCCCATCCACCCTCGGGAGATGCAGACTCAAGCATCTGCAGACTGCGGAACAGTTTTCAGCAGCCTTCCAATGATTGTGAATGATCGCGCCGACTGTCATCCGCTTCTTCGTCACCACCCTTACTTTACTGGCTACATATCTAGCAATCTCATGATCAACCCCTGATTCCAAGATAACACTCGCGGCCACTTTCCTCACACAACCCAACTTCACGCCAGAAAAAAAACGGAATTTTTACGCACGGTCTTTTCCGGATCTCATGACCATACTTGTTATTCACTACTCTTGCTATCACATTTCTTATATGGTTCCTGCTTCTCTTCGCGGCAAATAGCTTCGTCGTTCGGTAAAGCGAAATAAGTTCCCTAGATCCTTTACCATAAATGTTCCTGATCCTCCATGGTTGACGTAATTTGTCTCTCAAAACGTACTTGCGATGCTCGACGCTAGATGGCAGAATCTTAATATGTGTGACTCTAAAAATTCCCCCCTCCTCCAGCAGTCGCTGGCACATTCTGATCTTCTTAATTTCGCCTCCAATGATCACGGAAGTTTCCTCTACCTTCCGTCGGACCATCTTCCACCTATCTATCCAAACCGTACCTCCAGAAGAATGAATACAATTATCGGTTCCATTCTGCTTAAATTCCTTAAGTAGATTAATGAGAGAAGTGCGATTATTAAACTTGATCACTGTTCCCCCTAGCGAGTATGTGCTTCTCTTCCCTCTCTCTCTCTTCCCCGATCTCTTCCTCACTCTTCTTTCCTCCCTACCCCTTCCTTGCGTATTAAGCGCTGGGCAAAATCTCTTAATCAAGTCGGCCTCGACTACCAATGGATCATCGATCCCATCTACCAACGGTAAAGCAAGATAGTTATGCCATCCAAATAACCTTAACCACGCATGAAGCTTGGGTGCATTCCCTGGATCTCCTTTAATCGCTTGGACCACGTGGTCGTTCCACCTCGTAATCACGGACCGAGTTGTGCACCCTATGTAGAAGTGCCTACAATAAGGACTAACTAGAGCATACAACCTAGCTTTCGATGTGGAGGTATCATCCTTATTACCGCTTACCACACCTACCCATTTCCTGACCCATGGACAATCTCCATTTATCACACATAGTAGAAAGAGCCGAAAAATTATATCCTCCTCTTCTACCTTCAGTTTCTCCCCCCTTACTTCCACCGCTTCGCGTCGATTAGCAAGTTCCGATTTCAGAGCATCCATCAACCCTCATCTATTTCTCAAAAAGATCAGAAATTCGCGCGTTCTCAGGCAAATCTCCGTACACCAGTTTCGCTTTACACTTAATCAATTCTCCTATGGCCACGTCCTTCTTTGACCATTCAATGCCCTCCCTGCTACACAACTTCCGGAGCTCGGGTACTTTCTTCTCAGAGAGGTGTCTGTGCAACTCAATTGCAAAATCCAAAATCCCCGACTCTTCTTCAATGTTCCTTTTCTGTGGTGGAGTTCTTTCTCCGTCGTCATCGTTAATCCATACCTGGTTTCTGAAACCTTTCCTTTCTGTCCGAATATTCGATAGTCTCCCCTCCTCCTCACTGTTTACCTTCCTCTTTCCTTTGCGCTTTTCGATAGCCTCCACCATCTTCCCTGCCTCCTCCCTCACCTCCTCGCTTTCATCCTCCGATTCGTCTTAGTAACTCCGAATTTCCCTCAAAACCCTTCCTTTCGTCTTCGGTGATTTTTTCTTAACATTCGCACTCTCTGGTTGCCCTGTGGCCTTACTGTGTTGCGCTATGAGTCGAGTTAACCGTGCTTCTAATCTTGCTTCCCTTGCTTCAGACTCCCTCAGCCTTTCCTGCTCCTTTCTCAGATCCTCCTCTCTGCGTCGCCTTTCTTCCTCCTCTTTCTTTCCTCTCATCTTCAAATTTCCTCTTCCTCATCTTTTCTCTGAAATATTCCCTCATTTCCTTTGTTTCGTCATCCTCCCTTCCCGCCATCGCCTGCTGCACTGCTGGTTGTCTCCCATTACTGGCAGTCCAGCAGTTTTGGGCATAGTGCCCCGTCTTTCCGCATATATAACACGTTACGGCTCCCTGTTGATTCCCGCCCGAATTCATCCCGTT